CTTTTTTGAAGATATTTCAAGTTTGCTTGGATTAGGCATCATCCACAGAAAGGAGCCCCTTTTCGTATCTTTTAGAATACTTTTCATATTGACATCAGGATCAGGCATCAACCTCTCAACGGGTAGGGCTAAAAGATAAGTTTGAGAGATAGATGAATTTTTTTTGATAAACCGTTGGAGTTCCGAATATTTGATCTGTAATTTCTTCAGTGACAGAGGCCAGCCATTGATAATTAAATGATTTTTGGATACAGCTTCTTTGTTTTATTAATTGTCGAACTGATTAAAACATTTTAGTGTAATTGTACCAGGAGAATTAAAAACGTGGGACAAATCTTTCAGGTGCAAAAACATTGGTCAATTATAGAGTTATGGTCATAAGTGATAAATGATTGTTATAGTTCTCTCTAGGGTCTGTTCTTCAACCCGTCTCAAAAGGTAATTTTATCATAACATTTTACATTCAAGTTTTTGGTAGATTATTATCTCAGGCTTTTGCAGAAGAATCCTCAGAAACTATATGGACTATTGACACTTTTTAATATATGTAACTTAAGACTCTTTGAACATCCTCTGTTTGATTTAAACATGGATCTATGGGTAATCGAGTAAATTGGCCAATCCTCTATTATTATTCAATTCCTTAAATGAATGAGAAATGAGCAAACATTAAAGATCTTTTGTCTTCATTCCATCGAAAATAGAAATAAAATCAGGGCTTAAGAATGATTTTCATAACAATTAATTGATACCATTCTTTCAAAAAGATTATCTATTATCCATCGATTTTACATAGATAAAGAAAGAGAAAGAGATAGAGAAATACACGAGTATACGATAACTGCTTGCATTACTAATGCTTTCCAATTTTCTTAAAATTTGAATTAATATTCAAACATTTTATGTTTTAATTTACGGAACATACTACGTTTCGGATGTTCAATTATATATCATGGAATGTTACATGTATAATATATCAAAATTAGGTGTTAGATAATTAAAATAAGTAACAGATTTTGTGTTCAATGTAAAAGCTCAAATTACAATCCTACCTAGTCTATCTATATATATAAATATGAAATTAGTAATCTTACGTTGCACTGTCTGAATGAGTTTAAGAGTTGGTTTTCCGAAATTGCCATTAATAAAATCGAATTATTCACATCTTTTGCCATCGAAATTTTCTAACTAAAATACTTTTAATTAATCTATCGAAACCTCTGCAATTAGGCCTAAAGTTTTACAAAGCTCACGTTTTTTCTAATGTAAAGCCAACAGTTTTCGAATATTCTCTTTGACGAATGATTCCAAAATTATCTTAAATAAAATATTTTTTTTTTTTGCTAAGAATGTTAATATCATTAATATGAAATGTTTAGTTGTTACAAAGGACAACCAACTTCTTTGTTTCCTCGGCAAAAATAAATAAA